CAGAGAAGCAGTGATGCCTGAAATGGAGCCAGAGATGATGATGTGGAGCGATGGAGCAGCTGGAGACTCTAGACCCAGAGAGGGAGAGCAACTGTGTGCTGAAGACCTGGGGGGCACGGGGGAAGGATTGCATGGAGGGGATTGTAACCATGGCTATGAGACATATACGACAGAATGAATATAATTCACAATAAATTATTTAAGAAAAAAAAAAAAAAAGAAGGGAACCTAGATCCAGAGGGTGTTGAGGAAGGTAGAATCTCCACTGAGTAGTATCCTATCTGTCTAGGCGGAGCTGATAAAAGGAAATGCAGATAGGTGTCTTGTAATACAATAGTGAATAATTGTTATCAGAACTGATTGTCAGGGTTGTCAATGTAAAGGTAGATGTTTTTTAGCAAGGAGGGGAGTGATTAAATTTGCAGTCTAGGAGTGGAGGTCCCTGGGACCATCAAGGGAAAAGAATGGAGAGCGGAACCCTACCCAGAGAAGCTGTGATGCCAGAGATGGAGGCAGAGATGATGATGTGGAGAGATGGAGCAGCTGGGGACTTTAGATCCAGAGAAGGAGAGTGACTGTGTGCTGATGACCAGAAGGCAGGCTTGTAGTGTATACCCTTTGGTTGGTTGATGATGCATGGAGGGGATTGTAACCATGGCAATGAAATGATATACGATAGGATGGATGTAAGGCTAATGTTCTCCCATGTAAACTATCACATAATTCACAATAAAACATATATATAAAGTTGCTTATAAAAAAAAAAAAAAAGACAAAGCAGCCATATCAAACAAGCTACCACAGGTCAAATTTGAGACAATTTGAGCCTCTAAATCAATCGTGGTTCTAATAAAACAACTCACTGCACTAAATAAAAATCATGAGTCCATACTGATAAATATCTAAGTTTTACGTATCTCCTCACAAAATACAAAGATGAGTAAAAAATTATCCACACTCCAGTTATAATAAAATGCCTGTCCACATGAAATGATTCTGTCACACAAACAAATGATTATGTTGCAAATTTTTTGCAAAAAAGTCATGGTTCTGCCTATGAAATAATCCATGATAGACTTCTGTTTTGAAACGTTTGGGCAAGATGGGTACCAAAACAACTCATGGAAAAGCATAAACAGAAGTGTTGGGATATCTGCAAACAAAATTTGGACTAATACTCAAAAAAAGGTAAAAGATTCTTTAAAAAAAAAATTGTTACTGGTGATGAGACATGGATTCATCACTACCAGCCTGAGAGTAAATGGCAGAATATGGGTTGGAAACATCATTAATTACCAACCAAGAAAACATTCAAAAGTCAATAATCAGCTGGAAAATTGATGCTTCCAGTTTTCTGGAATTCACAAGGACCAGTATTTAAACACTATCAGGAAAAAGGTTCAACAATCAACAGTGCTCACTACAGTGAGGTACTCACTAAAGAGCTGAAGCTGAAAACTTCTGATTAAATACAGAGGACTGCTATCCAGGGCAGCTGTGATCTTGCATGAAAATACACATCTGCACCCTTCTGCTCACACAGTTGTCATTCTGAAAAAACTCCATTTTGAGGTGTTAAACATCCTCCCTCTATTCTTGATCTTGCTCCATCGGACTTTCAGGTGACCTGTTTGGTCACCTGAAAGCAGCTCTTCGAGATGGAAGATTCACCTCTGATGAAGAAGTGAATATAGTAGTGTATTTGCAGCTGGCAGCTCAGCCTAAAACATGTTTAAATAAGGGAATGTGAAACCTTGTTGACAGAAAAACTGTATTGAAAAGCAAGGGGATAATGTAAAAAAATGATGTAGTTGTCTTTTATAAAAGTTGTTTAAAATAAGTTCTACTGCCAGAGTGAGTATAAATTTTTATTCACCCTCATATACATTAATTACCAAGGAAATGAAGTATATAATGGAGAAGACTGGCACACACCACCTTAATCCTGATCAAAGTGAAAATCTTAGTAAAGGAATAAATCAAAATCATATGCCAACTGATGCTAAAATCACAGCATTGCCTCTGTGAAATTCCTGTCAAGGACGCATAACTTGAATCTTCTAATCATGAGGAAACATCAGGCAAACCCAAAATGAGGACATTCTACAAAAGAACTAGCCTGTAATCTACTATATTGAGAAACTATTCCATATTGAAAAGATTAAAGACACATGACAATTAAATGCAATGCATGGGTTGGGGGCTGAATCATTTTGCTCTGTGTATTATAAGGACATCTGAAGAAACGTGAATGGGGTCTGAGGATTACATGGCAATAATTGTTTTAATGTTAACGTCCTGATTTTCAGAAATGCCATATTGTGGTTATATACAAGAATGTCCTTACTAGTAGGAAAAACACATTAATGTATTTGGAGGTGTGCAACTAATGGAAGAAATGAGGAGGTGCAAGAGCTAAACAGAAAATTTCAAAGATCAGCTCAAAAAGATAAAGCCAATTATTACAACAAAATGTGCAAAGATCAGGAATCAGAAAACCAAAAAGGAAGAACACATTCAGCATTTCTCAAGCTGGGGGAACTGAAGAAAAAATTCAAGCCTCGACTATCATTATTGAAAGATTCTTTGGGCAAATTATTGAATGATGCAGAAAGCATCAAGAGAAGATGGAAGCAATACACAGAGTCACTGTACCAAAAGGAACTGGTTAATGTTCAACTGTTTCAAGAAGTAGCATATGATCAAGAGCCAGTGATACTTAGGGAGGAAGTCCAAGGTGCATTGAAGGAATTGGCAAAGAACAAGGCACCAGGAATTGATGGATTGAAAACTGAAATCTTTCAAGAAAGTGAGGCAGCACAGGAGGCACTCACTCAGCTATGCCAAGAAATTTGGAAGACAACTATCTGACCGACTGATTGGAAGAGGTCCATATTTGTGCCCATTCCAAAGAGAGGTGACCCAATGGAATGCGGAAATCATCAGATAATCTCTTTGATATCCTATGCGAGTAAAATTTCGCTAAAGGTAATACAGAAACACTACAATCATGCATTGACAGAGAATTTCCAGAGGGTCAAGCCGGATTCAGAAGGGGACATGAAATGAGGGATATCATTGCTGATGTCTGATGGAACTTGGCTAAAAGCAGAGAATATCAGAAAGATGTTTACCTGTGCTTTATTGATTACAAAAAGGCTTTCGATTGTGTGGATCATAACAAGATATGGACAACATTGTGAAGTATGAGTATTCCGGAGCACTTAATTGTGCTCATGAGGAGTCTATACCTGGACCAAGAGGCAGTTGTTCCAACAGAACATGGGAACATGTTCTAAAACATGTTTTAAAATTAAGAAAAGTGTGCAACAAGGTTGGATTCTTTCACCATACTTACTCAACTTGTCTGCTGAGCAAATAATCCGAGAAACTGGGTTATATGGAGAAAAACGTGGCATCAGGATTGGACAAAGACTCGTTAATGACCTCTGATATGCAGATAATACAACCTTGCTTGCTGAAAGTGAAGAGGACTTAAAACATTTACTGATGGATATCAAAGAACACAGCCTTCGGTATGGATTTCATCTCAAGGTAAAGAAAACAAACATCCTCACCACTGGACCAATAAACAATATTCTTATCAATGAAGAAAAGATTGAAATTGTCAAGGACTTCATTCTTCTTGGATCAACTATCAACATTCACAGAAGCAGCAGTCAAAAAATCAAACAACATATTCCATTAGGCAAATCTGCTGCACAAGATCTTTGTAAAGTGTTGAAGAGCAAAGATGTCAGCTTGAGGACTAAAGTGCACCTGACCCAAGCCATGGTATTTTCAATAACCTCATATTCATGCAACAGATGGACAGTGAATAAGGAAGACCTTAGAAGAATTGATGCCTTTGAGTTATGGTATTGGCGTAGAATATTGAAAGTGCTTTTCAATATTCAACAGATCCATTTTGGAAGAAGTGCAGCCGGAGTGCTCCTTAGAGGCCTAGATGGCCAAACTTCGTCTCTCATACTTTGGACATATTGTCAGGAAGGGCCAGTCACTGGAGAAGTATGGTATGGTGGAGGGGTGGAGGGTCAGAGAAAAAGAGGAAGACCCCCAGTGAGATGGATTGGCCAAGTGGCAGCATCGATGGCCTTAAGCATGGCAATAGTAGTGATGTTGGCCCAGGATTGGGCAGTGTTTAGTTCTGCTGTGCATAAGGTCACTATGGGTCATTATCAACTCGATGGCACCTAACAACAACAACAACTAATTCTCAAAAGATTCAGGAGGAAAGATTTTTGTATTTTTAAAAGAATAAAGTAAGTACCAAGAGAAACTTTAAACCTTTAAGTTTACTAAAGGTGGGGTCAAAATATTGTCAAGATCTGCACAATGGAATAAAAACATCCTGCTTCATTTACAAGGAGGAAGAGAAAGAAAAGCCCACCTGTTCCCTTGGCTGCATTTAGAGAATTATTATCAAACAGCCACTGTGATCAAACACCTACAAAAACAACTTCCCAACCAGTGTCTTCAAGACCCTGATATTAAGGGTAGGTGTTACAAGATAACTGTCCCTACAGTCCTTGAATGACTAGGGAAGGCTTGTTGTTATTAAGTACTGAGTTGTTTCAGACTCATAGCAATCCTGTATAAGATTTCCAAGGAGTGGCCGGTGGATTTGAACTACTGGCCTTGCAGTTAGCAGTCCAGTACTGATCCCACAGTGCCACACCAAGACTCCAGGGAAGACCTAGGCTATATTCCCAGGGCTCATTCATTTTAAGTATGTTATCTTTCTTATATAATTTTTTATTTGTGCCACACTGTGTAAAAGTTGATAAATATTGTCATTGAGCTGCAGGTGCATGAATGTTCAACATATTTCTCAACCCATCCCTCCAAAAATTAGAGAAATAATAACAAATTTACACTTGCCCAGTCATAATGGGCACTACTGTTGTACAGGAATACATACTATCATCTCAATAAAACACTGAAACAATGAACTTGTTTTTAAAACACAGTTTATGTACCTGTTGAATTAAAGAGGATTATATAAAAAGGCTCATCTGTTTCTGGGCTATCATCTTCATTGACAAATACAGATATACGCTGCTCTCTTTTTCCAACCTCAAACACAAGTGTTGCCCCTTTTTCAATAGGTAAAAAGTCTCCCTCTCTTGCAGTAGCTTTCCCATCCATGGTGGCATATTGTACAGTGCAGGCAACATCAGCAGATCCATTTCTGAGAACAGTAAAGGAAGCAGTTCCACCTTCCTGAACCCTCACTACACGAGGTTCTGAAATATTCATAAGAAAGGAACAGTGAGATTTTTCATATCATCTACATACTTCCAGATCATTGATGTCTACATTGTCTCCTGTTCTCTGTCCCAAGAAATGCTTTCCATTGATTCTTTGCTTGATAAAATCAGCTCTATGCCCAACTCTTTCATGGGGCTTCCTTTATTTCCAGTCAATGGCCTTCCTCTTCCCTTAAAGCTTACTTAATCCAGTCTTTAACACCCAATTTAGCAGTTAATTACATATCTTTGTAAACTCTGCCTGCTGTTTTATATCCCTTACTTACAAATTTAAAATTCCTTGAGAACAGGCCCAGATATATTTTATTTTTACCACAGCAGTTAGCATAAGGCTGAGCAAAAAACCAATTCATTAATTAGGTTAACTGAGTATTAATAATATGAATCAATTAAACTTAAGTGGTTTAAAGATCTCTGCAATGGTAAACTTGACCTATGTACAGCTCACAAAAAGTTTTACAAAGAATTAGACACCAATTAAATATCATAAATAAAAGAAAATTGCCTCAAATGGTTAAAGATAGTATTAAAGTAGAAAGAAAGAAACAAGAAAACCTTAATGATATATCCACTAGATATTAATTAAGATGACTGGCGACAAGTCACTAAGTATAATACCTAGGACTTGAACCAGCTAGAATGTGTGTGGAGATCATGGGAAAAAATACACTTTTCTGAATAAAAGAAAATAAACAGTTTAGAATTTAAAGGAAGGTGATAAAGCCTAATAAAATAGTACTTATTTTATTTTTACTTCAGAAGATCTCAGAAATATCTTAAAACTTAAAAAAAAAAAGAATCATCTAAACAAATCATGAAGTTATGTTGCAATACATATTGATTGCATTGTAAAATGGTTAAGTCGAAGGCATATAATCTTATCTTAAAATATATACTGGTATGAAAGATGCAAACTCACTCAAATAAGATAGAAATACAACCTGCAAAATAAATGGGGTCATCATTTCCACTAATCCTCAGAGTTGCAGTTGTTTTATTTCCTATTTTAGCTCCTCCAGTGGCATTAAGTAGGATAATAGTAAATTCTTCCATTTCCTCTGGAATCTTTTGGAAAATATGTTATATATGTTTAAAGTCAGGTCATTGTACATATAATTGAATTATATATTCCTAAATTATCTTTTATATTTAAAGTGCTTTGCTCAATGTCATTTCTGAGGCAGAGCCATTGTATATTCAATTAGGATTCAAATCAAAACTAAATTAAATATTTTAATATTGTTTATTCAAACAGTTTATTTCTATTAACAAGAAAACTTCATGCAAACAGAGATAGTTTGCCTTATATAAATGAAAAATAGAGATCTTCCAAGCTCCTATTAGTTCTCTAAGAAATCAGAAAATGTGAATTAAGTCAAGAAGTATTACTACTAGGTTTCCAGTTCATACATGCACAAATTTCTTCCAAATAAAGCATGTTTAAACAAGATGAGTTTCCCTATAGCTCTGGAGAATATATCCCCAAGTAGACATTGGTTATCTTTCCCTTTATCCATGTAGCGGGTCTTTTCCTCACTCTAAAACAAAAAAGTGCTGGGATTTTTTTTTTCTCTTAAAAAATATGGGGGAAGGAGGCAGGCTACCATAACTGCCCTAGGGCCATAACTGTCCTTTTCTTCAGAAAATCTCACTCTCCATTGTTGCTACATACTTTTACAATAGCATCTTCTTTCTCTTCATTTTCAATAAGAAGAAACACCATGTTGGATCCAGGATCCATCTGGCCCACTGTGCTGATTCTGAGACTGAACCACAGGATACCCGTGTAAAGTCTTGAAAGAGGGTGGTGACCTCATCTTCACAAGACCTATCTACTAGCACAGGGATCAACATTCCCCACAGCTTTGAATCACTGATATTTGACACATAAGCAGTGCCACTGACCTTTGTCACTTTTAAGAGGTAAAAATGCCTTCACAGAAACAAAAACATAGTATTTTTTCCTGCTTCTAGGCAGATATTTTAATACTTGAGTTCTTTATTACCAGTTATTCAATTATTTAATTAAAAAATAATGATTGTGCAGCTAAAACAAATAAAACAAAATACTATAAATGTAACATTTACCTCATCTGGTAGGGAATAAATGGTGACATTTTTTGAAAATTCCTGATGTCCAAAGAAAACAGTCCCATTGATGGGAACTACATCTTGTGTGAAGTCTGGACTAACCACCCATGATACACTAACATCACCAAAGTTGCCTCGATTTCTTATTACATCATAAACAGCTGTGAAATAAAAAATATATAATGTATATGAATATATATCAAACAATTCAAAAATGATGAGTAAGAAACTGTTGAAATAAAAAATAGTAATAAGACTTAAAACAAACAACCAAAAAAGGTCTATTGCTTGTTACTACAGACTCCAAAGTACATATAAACATGTATTAGTTAGTCTTCTTCTGCCAAAAACACAATAATTTAAAATATTATTAGCCTAATCCTCCCCAATAGGCCTGTTGATGCTGTTGTTAAGTGCCTTCAAGCCAGTTCCAACTCATTGTTATTGTTGTTGTTGGTAAGTGCCATCGAGTCGGGTCCGACCCATAGCGACCCTGTACAGGGTTTCCGAGGGTGTAAATCTTTACGGGAGTAGAAAGCCTCATCTTTCTCCCGCGGAGCGGCTGGTAGTTTCGAACCGCTGACCTTAAGGTTCGCAGCCCGATTCGTAACCACTACGCTACCAGAGCTCCTTATATCCCAACTCATAGTGACTCTAAATAGGGTTTCCGAGGTTATAAATCTTTATCAGCACAGAAAGCCTCATCTTTCTTCAACTCTGTAGATGATGTATGTTATCAAATAAAGTCAAAATTTTCTATCATAGTTTGGGGTTTTAAAAGTCATTTGCCACACAATTGGACATTGGCTACCCAAAAAGGGGGGTGGAGGGTCACGGGGGAAGGATTGCATGGAGGGGATGTAACCATGGCAATGAGATGATATACGATGGAATGAATGTAAAAGTAATATTCTCCCATGTAAACTATCCCATAATTCACAATAAATCATTTAAAAAAAAAGTCATTTGCCACATAAAGCAGATTGATAATCAATGAGATGCACATATCACAAAGTCCTCAAGGAGTATTGGTTATGCAGTGGGTTAAGCAATGACCTGCTAACCCCACAGTTGATGGTTCCAATCCACCAGTTGCATCATGGAAGAAACATGAGATTTGACTTCCGTAAAGATTTACAGTCTTGGAAACCCTAAGGAGTAGTTCTGCTCAATTCCCTTGGTCAGTCACTAGGAAAGGAATCACAAAGCTCTATAAAGGTATTTGCCAAGGAAAGGTGCACACTCAAAAGTCATTTTCTTACCTAGGTAGACACTGCTCTAGAAAGACAACACTTCTCATTTCTCACCATTTTAATAATTCTCCTGCAGTAACTTACAGTTTCTCTATTTGACTTGGCTCATTGTTTTGAGTTGCACTGCATATTGTGAATTGAAATCAAAATATAACTGGAGTCATCAAGAACATCACAGTACAGTGTAAGAAATACAAACAGCAACACAAAATATGGTTGGAGAGAAAAAAAAAGACAAATTCTGCACTGCAAATAATTTCTAAGACAGTTTTGGGCAACTGAAAATAGCTAGTTAATAAAATAGAAAAATAAAAAACACTTAAAAATTGATTTATTTCACCTTTGGTAAATATAGAATATAGGGAGCAGAATAAATTACCACTATAGATAATGTCTCCTTTGCTTTCATTTATAAGGACAATTAGGCCATCCGACACAAATTCTATAATCCCATGAGGATCATCATTTTTCAGAATTGTTATGTTGACAACCGTAGCACTTCCCAACTTGCTTTCCCATTCACCATGGCTGCTGAGGACCACCCAATAATGTTCATCCAACTAAATTAAGCATGTCAAATGAGGGAAAACATAGAGTTGAAATTTTTAGAGTAAATAAAACCTACATATTTACAAATATTCAATGTTTCAAAAATAGCCAATGCATTAAAAGGCAAATCAGATGATATCATTTAAAAATGTTTTGAACCTTCTTTCATCAATTAAAATAACAAATATAAATATGCATTATCCAAAAGGGACTAAATAAAACACTATGATATCCTAAAACTGTAAGAAGACTGAACCTTATCTAGACTGCCTAGTCAAAGTAATGCATAAATAAAATACAATAAATTTAAAACTAAACATACATTTGGTGTTTAAGCATAATGGAACTAACCTTGATTCCAGTAATATAAATCAAATCTATTTACTTTAAAAATAATTTTACAGCAACTTCTTCAGTTCAAAACCATATCAGTAAACTTTCAGTGAATAGAAATTACATGAAATAAGGGTAAACAACTAACAAGTTAAAAGAAGATGAAAACTAATCATACATCGAAAGTTTCCGATTGTTTGGTATTTATGTATTTAAGACAAATATACACCAATAAAATTTGAATGAATCTTGCTTTGTTTTTTGGCTTGTTTTCCCCTCAAACATAAGCACTACTCAATCTTTTATTGCCCACTTTCTCCTTGCTTGCCTCTTTGCAAATTTGAAAAATATATATATTCACAGTATGCTAGGTAATATCAATCTTCAGCAAAAGCACAAGGTAAATAAAAAATCTCATACCTCTGGTATCCCATCCAATCTTGTGAGCAAGGTGATTACTATCTCCCTCTCCCCAGGTTTAAATTCTAGTATTCCCATGTTTCCATAGAATTCATTGCTATCTCTTGGCTCTATTCGGTAGTGTAGAAACTGTTTCACAAGAGCTCCCCTGGATCGGATGATGTGGAGCTCTACAGATTCTCCTTCCTTAAAGGAAAACAAAAATTCACAAACATTTGTCGGCTTCTTAATGGTATTCTCCTGAATTTGTGAGCATGGGAGTCTGAATTTCTTTCATACTTACATTTATAACATAGGGTCCTCTAGAAGCAGGAGAAAATTCAAAAATTCCCCCAGGATCATCATTTTCCAAAATAATTAGATCCCGGCTAGTATATCCAGATTTCAGAACTTGATTTTCCAAATTGACCCTGGAGAAATCAGAAGGGGTAAAGGTTACTATATGACTACAGTTTTTCTTTTAAAACTTCCAGGTTTCTAATGTAATATTTACATTTCTAAATTGTGGAAAAGGAAATTACTAGGAATTAACATCATAATTGGATTTAAGTATATTAAGTATACTCACAACAGTTATAAGAGAACTTTTATTTACTTCTGTGTTCACTGAATTTTTTTTTTCTGAAACCATACACTGCATATGTATATCAATATTAGTAACCAACTGCTATAAATGTACTATATTTTATTTTTATGAAGTATCATAGTTTATAGATTTGTTTCCATAGAGTTGTTAGAAAATTATAATTTACTACGTAAGTTAGAAAACATATATTTAAAAATTATGTTTTAATTTTATATTCACTTGAATTTCTTTTAAAATCTAATTGCATAAAATGATACTAATGGTACATCTAGTATGCCAAACTAATAGAAAATGAACTTTGCATTGAGCCTATGATTCAGTTTTATAAATATTTTGTGTCCTTTACATTACTTTGGTTCACTACAACTTTAACCTCATGCAGTTTTTTTCTTTTTCCTTTTAAAATAATGAAAATGTAGGACATATGAGAAAAAAAAAAATCAATTGAGATGTATGGCATGTTATAACAATTCCTATACATCACTCAAAAGAACATATTAAAGCAATATGGTGTTTTATTATTTCTGGTTTTTATGCTCAGTGTGTAATTAGAATGATCAAAGGGGCTTGGACTGCAAGGCTCTGAGAGTTTAAAAGCTAGCAGGCTCTTTGAGAATTCTCAATCCTGCAAGCTGCTTTAAACCTTTCCAAATGTCACTTCCTATTGAACCAAAGAGCACTCATGATCAGATCTCAAAATCACAATGAAGCCATAATTAATATGTAAAAGCACAGCTTGCTTCCTATTAAATATATAATCTGAATTAATATCCTTTCATAGCTTTAGGAAATCTGACAAACAATATTAGTATATTAGTATGTCACAAAAGTGATAGCATAATAGGACAGTTATTTATAATGTTGTTATTAAAGTCATATGAGCTCATATGACTTCAATATTCCAATAAAACATATGAATATCAAGTATTCCTATGTTTCTTCAATATTAATATTTTCATTAATTGAAATTTCCTTTGTCCACACAAGCTAGAAGACAAGAAAAATTAATCCAAATATAAAATATAATAGACCATTCCGAGCATCAAACAGCTTTTTACTTTCTTAAATTATGTCACCCTATGCTAAA